TTACGTTATTTATAGAAAAATATAACACTTAGTAATTTTGTATTTTTTAATTTTAAAAATTATTAATTAATAATTTTCTTAGAAAAAAAAAACATTATTTCGTGGGTGTATAAATATTTTTAATTTTAATTGAATTACATACGATGGGCTCAATATAGAAAGCTAAATTTATATATGAACTTTTAGTCGAATTTAAATATTGTAACTAAATTATATATGTATGTATATATCTTTAAATGTGTATATATATATCTACATATTTAGAGCAATAATGAACGAAAAATAAATACGTAATAAAATAAATAAAATAGCTTTTTAATTTTGCTCTCTTTTAATATTTTTACTCTTTGCAAATAACGATAAAATAAAGAGCTTCGCATCATACTTATAGTAAATAATAGGGTTGGAACTTAATATTTTAAAAATGTAATTAGAATAATATTATAGCCAATATTTATTTTTTTAATTGAAGTAAAATGGTGATTATTTTTGAATTAATGTACTCAAATATCGTGTGAATTATTCAATATTCAATAAAAAATTACAAAAACAAAAAAGGATTTTCTTTTAATTAGTAATTTCTTGTGTTCATCTTAGTTAAAAAAATTATTATTTACTTGTTAAAACTAGTTAAAATTTATTTGTGAGTAAGAGGGACGAAACTTGATTGTAGATTTCAAAAAGAAGAAAATAATTTAACAATATACGTATAGTTTACAATTGTTGGTCATAATCACTAGATTATATTAAATTGATTATAATTATAAAGACCGATGTAAGCACATATAGGTTTCAGAACGACCCAACTCTGAAATATAAAATGTGAAGAGGATGGAAAATGTAACATGGGCAACAGCATCTTTTATAAAGCTTTTTTTTTTTTGCTATAAAAAAAACTAAAGTCCCAACACTACTACATTGTATATTGTAGAATAAAGATCACATAAATTTTTCTCATTTTTGTTGTTGTGTTATTTTTTTCAATCATTCAAGAGTGTTTGTGTGTATAAAACGTAATAATTTTAAATTTTTTAAAAGCTTTTCTTTTTTTTTGAATAAGGTACGAGTAAGTATGTTCTCAATCTCTTTTGAAAAACTTTAATAAAATAATTTTCTCATTTATGAATGAAAAATGTTTGTTATAATAAAATTTTGCAAAGCACAATAATGTTGATGGATGAATAATATTTTTTTTAGAAGTTTGCTTTTATATTTTTCGAATTTCATAAAAAATATAAAATACTTATACTCACATATTATAATAAGTTTTTATATTAATATACGGCATCAGATTTGTTTAGCAAACGTGAAAAATACAATATAAAAATATATACGCGTGTTGTAAAAGAATAAATCTCGCGAACTGTACATGTACATATGTACATAACGTATAAATATATGAAAAGCTTAACTACAAAAAAAAAAAAAACCTAATATAACCGATCCAATTGATCATATTTGTTTGAAACGCGCTAGCGATTAGAAGTGAATTTAATCGATCTTAAATGTGTTTTGGTATTAAGAGGTTCCGTGCGGCAATCCTTTTTCTTTTTCATTCTTCTTCTCGTCGCAGTAATAAAAAAACGTTTTGTAATAAACAATAACGTGATTAACGGGATTAATGTGATTTAAGGACAATAAGGAATTAATGTGATTTAAGGATTAAATTGGTGTTGATAATTAAAAAAAAAAAATAAGTAAAATCAAAAAAAAATATTTTTTTTTTGCAGACTTATCAAAAGGATAATTAAATTTAATTTTGTATTTTATGTGCGATAATATGATTAAAATGTTACCAAGTTGTTTGAACGGAAAACAAACTAAACAATTTTAATTAAATTGTATGAAAATTTTGAAAAGAAAGTAATTAAGCTATTCTTGTAATTTCATAAAAAATTTAATTTTTTAATCAGAAAATTTTAAAATATTAAAACAATTTTTTTGCTTTGCTTTAAAAAAAAAATTTACTTAAGTACATACACATACATATATTTGATAGTAAAAGCTCTCTGATTCATAGCGGTGATATTTTTGTTCTGCTGTCTTTGCTATTTTTATTATTATTATTTGCTTCTGCCACCAATTCAATAATTTAATTCGTGGAAATTTAAGTGATTCATTTTCTTTTTCATTTTTTTTTTATTCGCACTGCTAATTGTACATAATTATACCACAAATTTTTGTGTTAATAATTTTAAATAAAAATTGATGAAACAAAAATATATTAATATTTTTAAATTAAAAGGAAATATATATTTTTTTTTTAAATAGTCACAATATTTACATTATGGTTTAATTGGTTCTAAAAGAGTGTAAAGAATATAGCAAAATTTTTGCAATATTGTAAGTAAATATTAAGAGTGGTGAAAAATAAAAAAATTTTAGGTATATGATAAGATTTCACAATAATTACAATAAATACAATATTGATAATAAAGATAAAATATCATGAATTAAGGGGTGTAGTGAGTAACTAAAAAAAAAAAAATAATTTGTGCAAAAAAAAAATTTTTTAATTATTAAAATTAATTTTAGTTTTTCCTGAGAATCAAAAAAAAAAAAATTTTGCTCAGAAATAACAAGAAAATTAATTTGAATTTTTTGTTTTTGATTACCGCCAAAAAAAAAAAACAAAACGACCTGTTATATTAGTTAATCCGCTTATTATTTATTTGTATGCACATAATATATGTATGTATGTGCGTAAATGTTTATGTGTACATGTTAAATAACCAATATATGTACGTTTAAAATTTTCTACTATTTCTTCACATATGTACATACATACATTCGCATTATTAATAATTTTAAAATTATATTGAAAAGTGTTATACATATATGTACTTTGTACCTATTATATACAATATAAAAAAATACAATATAAGCATACAATCAAATAAAGCGAAAAAATCAAAACCAATAAACAAAAAAAAACAAACATAAAAAAATCACCACACATTGATTTCAAATTAATTTGAAAAGCGGAGAAAAAAAAATTTTTTTTTATAATATTTTAAACTTTACATAACGAACGCGTGCTAAATTTTGTGTAAATCTACATACACAGGTATATATACAGAAAAATTTCTATTGAAAATCCTTAAAATAAAAAATAAATAAAAATGCCGCATAAAACACCAAAATAATAATTTAAATTTGGTGAATTTCTTAGAAAGGATTTTTTTTTTTATTTTCAATTTTTTTGAAATAAATTCAAATTAAAAAATAAGGTGAATTTTTGATTTTTTTTTATGGTGCATTAATTTAAAAAACTATATTATGTAAAGTATGTATGTATGTATAATGTATGTATATTTGTCCATAATACTTGCATTAACATAGTTATTTTTTTTTTGGTTTAACAGGTTTTAAATCGGTTTTTATACCGACTGTATTGCATACAATAAGGGAGGTATTTTGATAGCACCAAATTATATATATATACATATATATATATATATATACATATATATATGTGTGTATTAAATTTTCAATGGAAATTTTCTCTGTGGTGTAGAGAAATCTCTGTGTCTCTGGTATAGAGAAATATTTACTAATTTTTTGTAAGATGTCGGTCCGTGCCTGTACACTTTAATATTTCAATTTCGATTTAACGTTTAGCTGGATGAAATTTATAATATATATATATTATACGTATATGTATATGTCTGAGTTTCGTTTGGAAATGAAGCAATGTATCTAAGCAATATTAAATCTTCAAACTGTACATGAATTTTTCGAAGCTACCAGCAGGACCCTATTTTACTCTAACAATTGTTACATAGTTTCTGTTGCAAAACACAAATAATAAAAAAATACTTTTTTAAAAAGTTCAATAGTACAACGAATATTAAATCTAGAAGTGGTTAGTGAAATAGAGCCAAGAGCTCGAAAACGGAACTATTATTATGAACTAATCTTATATTTTTTAATTCTATCTCTAGAAATATATAATTCTATAATTATTTATTGGAACTTTTTTTAACACTTAATATCTGAATCATATATGTTCATTAACAAAACTAACTAGATCAGAGCCAAAACCAAAATTTTTATTTTTCCAATTTACATTAAATAGAAGGTTACGCGTTATGCAAGTTAATTTGTTAAAAATTGAAATTTAATTATGCTTAAGGAACACTTTCAAACTTTATATTGCAACACTTTTCAATAAAACTTTACTCACTATAATGTAGTAAAACTATTGATTTATTGTAATTAACAAAAATTATTCAGAATGTAGAATGTAGATAATGCGGTCGGTTATTTGCTGAGCTGATCACATCAGATTTTTGTTTTTTTGATTTAATAAAATTAATGAGAATTTCATATTAATTTTTTTAAATTTTTCATTTTTGTTATTATTTTTTTTTTTTTTCTTTCAGCTACCTTATACTCGTATGTATAAAGAAATAATAGGTATAATAGAATAACAGTTTAACATTAAATTGAGAACATGGTTATTTTCGTATATATAGTTTTCAATAATTAAGTGCCGTCGGTTAATTAAGAGATCAGAGAAAATATCGCCTGTAATTTAAATTAAAATTGAAAATTTATTAAACAGAGTGAAAATTTGTGATTATTATTAAAAATTTAATTCATAAATCAATTGTTTAAATGAAATTTTAAATGTACTTTATATATTTTAAGTGTTACAAACGATTAAGGATTCACTTTTTTAATATTAAAGTATCGCTATGTAATATAAGAGTTTCCTTTATGAAAATTATTAAAAATTATAAAAATTATTAAAAAATTACAATCAATATTAAATAATAAAAGTGTTTATTAAGAAACTATAAGAAACAAATTAAAATTATTCAATTAATTTATTAAAAATAAAATTTTAAATTCGAAAATGTAATCGAAATACGAGTATTAAGGATTTAGAAACAATTAAAAAAAATAAAATAAATTTTAAAAATATAAAATCATAATTGTTATATAAAAAATTTTTCAAAATTGGTAAAACAAAATTTTATAATCATTTCAAAAGTATGCGTGAAGATGATTCAGAAATTAATGATGAAAGGACGAAACCGAAAAAAATTGAAACCACATTGGAAACGTCGAAGAAAGAAATTCAAAATCTAACAAATAGTAGTTCAAATTCCAATAGTGATAGCGATAATTTAATTAATAAAAATATTAATAATAGTAATAATAGTAGTAGTTGTTCTAATAATAGTAGTAACAACAATAATAAATGTATATTAACATTTAGTACAACTAGTAGTTCAATAAATTATGAAAATAAGACTGAACTTAATAAATTGAAAATTAAAGCTAGTGCAAAGGTTAGTGACAATAATAGTGACGATGATGATGATGATACTTATGATGATAATAATGATGCTAATAATTATAATATTGATCTCAATATAATGAAAAAAAAAATAAAAAATGAAAATAAAAAAAATGATTCTAATGATTCTAATGATATTACTCAAATATGGTTACCAGTTAATCCACAAGTATGGACAGAAGAAAATATTCAAAGTTGGATTAATTGGGCAACAAAAGAATTTAAATTAGAAATTGAACCAGATATTTCTCGTTTTCCAAAAAATGGTAAAGAATTATGTGAAATGACAAAAGCTGATTTTTGGGTATGTGCTGGTTCTAGATTAGGTGGTATACAATTAGCAAAACATTTAGCATGGAGATTACATTATGCGACGGGTAGAGAAACAAGTCCAATATTAAATGATGATGAACCAAGTAAGTGTACATATTTAAAAATATAATGAAAACTTTTGTTATAAACATAAATATTTTTTTTTTTATTTAGGAGCTGTAATTAAATATAAGAGTTTAAAATGTGAACAGTTGTCAATAGGGCAATAGATTTCTAAGAAATATTATCAGAAAATATTGATTTTAGCAGATTTTAGCCCTTAATTATTGATAAATCTTTTGGCTGTTTCCCTCAAGATTTCTTATTACTTTATAGAGAAACTTCCGCAAAGCATAAATAAATTTTAATATTTTTGTAATAGCTAATATAGAAATTTGAATGTTTTATACTAAAAATTTAATGTTATACTCTTATTAACCCAGACTAGTTTTGCGTAATTCATATAAAAGAAAGTCTAATTTGTTAGAAAATTCTGTGAAATATATATACTCATATATAAGAGTTATGTAGTATTACATATTTGTATAACATAAATTTGAATATAATAAGAATATGACGTTTACTTTTCATGTGAAAATATACTGCAGCGAATCTACCAAAATTACCGCAATAAAAGCGACTAAATATAGAGGTACGCCTCTCATTTACTATGTATTTATGTATAGACAGCTCGTGGAGCTTGGAGTGTTATATGTTTATAGAATGTTATGTTTAACCTTAAATACACAAAATATCTTTGCAATAAATAATTGAGTTTTCTGTTCTCAACATTTATACTTGCAAAATTTAGATTTCCATTATACCCTTCAAATAAATCTATAATTGTATAACAATTTCAATGTATCAAAAATTATTATAGAAAATAATTGAATTCTAAAATAGAATTAAACAAATGAATAAATAAATTGAAAAAGCAGTAAATTACCTTCATTTATTTATACTAGATATTAAATAAAAAAAAATATAGGATTAACTAACCCTTTTGAATCTTTTGATAAGATTTAATTCAATTTTATTTTTTTCATTTGTTGTGTTCACACACATAAACTCACCCACATTCACCTATATAAATGAGAAAATTTTTTTCAAAAAAAAAAAAGAAAAATATTACAACAGTATAAAGAAACAATTGATTGTATAACAGTTTTATTTATTGAAGACTATAATTTTAACAGATAAAAATCCTTTGAAAATTACACTTTTATGTAAGTATTATATACATATAAAATATAGTTAATACTTTTGTATAACAAAAGGATATCGAATGGTCAATTTCAAATTCTACTTTAAGTGTTATCCTTTAAATTATCGTTGTTTTTTTTATTCTTTGCCAAAAAAAATAATCTCTACTATTAACGAAAAGATTTTTCGTATATAAAAATATCAATTTCTCTTTGAGTTTCTCAATTTGGTACACACAAATAATATTTATGTATAAATGTGTATATGTATGTATGCAATATGTGAAAGTTTTTCAAACCAATGCAATTAAATTAAATTACTGATAAGAATCGCATAATCTATAAATAAAAATATAGTAAAAAAAAAAGTGTTGAATTTATTGGTTTCTTTTAAGATGAAGTTGATTTTTTATAACAGAAATATAGAACCTTTTCTTTCTCGATCATATAAGAAACAACAGACGTGTATATAAATTTCAATTTAGAAAGTTTATATTCGAATTTTTTAACACTGCTATTGCCTTACATATTTTCTGAAAGCATAATATTATTTTATATAATGTATTTAAAGGTAAATTCGTACAGACGAATCAGTTTAATCATTTTGGGACCAGCCTTCTCATCCCAGCGTTCTTACCCCTATCTTATAGTAAAGAAAGTTTAGCGAAAAACATTTTAGCTCCCAAAATTTTCTTTAATTCTTTTTTTAAATTTTTCATTTTTGATATTAGAATAGTGCAGAACGTCTACATAAAATAACGTATGAAATGAATGGGTTAAAACAATTTTTAATATTTCCGAAATAAAAAAACTCAATTCTTGTGATTCAATTGAAGCAATTTTTCACTAAAGTTTTATAAAAATTTGTGCCCCAATACATTTGTGTTATATTCAAAATTCAATGTGGCTCATAAGTATATAATTTTCTTTCAAGCATCTATTAAATAAATTTTATTAAATAATTTTGTTTGAGAAAAATGAGCTTGCCATGGGTTTTTTAGAAAAAAAAAAATGGAAAATAAAAAAACACTAAAATTATTTCTGTGGTCTTTTATTTTATACGTGGAATAAATACCTTATTCGTGACAGGATTTTTAAAAATTTTATGTGCATTAAATATAAATAAACGCTGCGATATTTCATATATTTTTAGTTTACGGAAAAGTTTTTAAAGATTTAAATTCTTGTTCCTAGATATCGGCTGTTTAAAGTTTTCAACATAATAAACTTTTAATATACCTGTGTTTATATGACGATGGAACTACTCTTGCAATACTTAATAAGGATTAATTCAGTCATATTTTATAAAATAGATAGATTCAAAACAAAAGTGGAATTCACAATTATGTATATTAGTTATTTGATTTACTAAAAATAAAATAAGGGAAATAATTAATAAAAATGCGCACATGGATTATGAATTAATTGAAAGCTCTCTTGGAAATGTACTCTCAAAAAAAAATTTAATTAACGGCTGAAGGCAGCCATGCAACTTTTAGTTTTGCAAATGTTTGATTGCTTATTTGTATTTCATCAAGCGCGTACACATGCAACTGTATGATCGCGTATGCAATTAAGCAATCAAACAGTTTGTTTGATTACTTAATTTTTTTACAAATTGATTGTTAAAAATTTCTGAATTTCAAATTGTTTATTTGCCTAACTGCCTGATCGTCTATTTTGTCTCGAAATTTTATTTTACTTGGAAAGTCAGAAGAAAGTGAGTAATCATATACTTGTTAATTAATGTAATTTTTGAGTGAGAAGAATCATTCCGTATGGCATATCTCGTTTTTTTTCTAAAATGCATACAAAATTTATTTACTTTGTTTTTGAAAGTGAGACGTTCAGCCTTACTCATTTGAGAAAAAATGTAAAATTGAAAAAATGAGTAATCTTATTGGAAAAGTGAAACATCCATTAGAAAGTACTATGAGAATTCTGATTTAAAAGTGAATAAAAAGTTAATAAAAAAGCAAGATACACGATCAGACTGTAAGTGTGCGTGTCATTAATTTGTAATCAAATTGTAATTGCAAAACTATAAACAGCATGTCTGCAAGAGACCTTACATTTTAAAAATGGAAATACTCATATTTGTGTTTTTTAGGTTTATAAATAAATATAGAAATCGGGAACACTGTTGGTTCAACAATTTTTTTTTGGTTTATCAAATATTTCACTTATTCTAAGATTGGTTTTTTATTCTTGTGTTTATTTCAATAAAGAATTCAGTTGCGACAATTTCATATACGAAAAATAGAAATTCAATGAATTGAGTTCAACGAAAAATAATTTAATGGTTTATGTACGGTACAATAATTCGTTTGTTATGACACACATACGTTATCGGTATGTGTGTCGTTACAATTAACTTCATAACCTAATTCCTTTCACTATTTCTAATTAAAATTTTTTCGAAAAGCACTTACAAACATTTTAAATAATTGTTCGTTCTGCTCCTATAATAAGTTCAGTTTCCTTTGTTGCAAATAATATTTTTTTTTTTACATAATGTAAAAATATTTTTGTTTTTTTCCGATTTTTTTATTTATTTTCAAATTTCTTCTTTCCAGAATTTTAATCCTTTATTCCTTGTTCACTTTTATTTCTGCTGTTTTATTAAGTTTTCAAGAGAAAAAGTTGTAATCAATTTCCTTCCTGAATCTTCTTTCTTTATATGTACATACCAACTCATTGTTTAACTTTTTGACTTCTCTGCTCTACTTTTTAAATCTGTATATAAACCGTAAACAAATAAATGTCCTTAAATGTCCTTTTTCCTTATTGTATATATATATATTGTATAGTTACAAAAACAAAATTCATCTAGGTTTTATCATGTCATTTAAATTGAATCTTCTTATAACATCGTTCTCAGCATTGAATTAAGACTATTTTGAATTTCGTATGTGTATTTTGTATAATAGTGTTTGTGTGTTTTAAACAAATATTTTGGAAAAACGAAAATTTTCACGTATACACGTACAATGAACACAAATAGAGAATAAATATTTATAAAGAGGTACAAAAAGAGAGAAAATGAAATGAGAAAAAATAAAGAAAATTCAATTCATGCTGAGGACCACCTATCAAGATGACATCACATCCTGCCATAACAGCATGGGGTAAATGGTTTTTACAATTTTATTATTTTTCTTTTACTATAATACCGTTACTTATACTGTTATTTTGTATTTAAACTGATTTTATTATATAGTTAGTAAATGATTCACGTAAATTGAAATGTTAAGCCAGTTAAGATGATAGGCTGACAATGATTTTTCTTTTATTTTTTTTTATATTTTCCTCTATATAGATATACTGGGAAATGCTATAAGTAAGGGTGGAATAATTGTTTCACTTTGACATGCCTGTCTATATACATACATACATATATATGTAAAATTAGAGAAAGGTGATGAAAATGTTATAGGTTATATTACAGTTATTTATTTTTTTATATTTTGGTTAAATAATAAAGTCACAATATGATCTACTGTTATACAAAATCAAATATAAGCAAAAAAAAATGTAAATTAGAAAATAAAATGAAAATAAAAGGATGAACTTAATAATTCATTATAGAAGCCTTGAGTTTATAAACAATATATGTATATGTATATATATGTAGACGGATATAAGGGGATTCTTGAACTATTTTGCATAATAATGTGCGGTAATATTTTTAATATTTTTTTATTATATTTGTGGGTATACGCTGTCAATTACATTTTAATCTTATAATGGATTATTTTATATTTAGTATGTTTGGATAGACTGAAAATTTACCAGAAGTTTTTAATAATAAAAATTATAACCTAGAGTCTCTTAAATTTCTAAATAAGATTAGTAATTATATAATTTACACTGGATTATTTTTTGAGATGATTGGCTTATAA